ATATTTGTAAATATTTTAAAATTTACAGGTATTTGTTGCAAATATTTGTAAATAATTAAAAATATATATTATAAAATTTTAAAATAAGTTTAAATATATAGTATAATATAAATTAAAGTTTAATTTTAATTAAATTTAACTTAATAAAATATAAATTAATTTTTATTTTATTTTTTTTGAATAATAAATATTCACATACAGGTATAAATGATATTATACTGACACTCAATTTATTTATTAATAAGTATTAAAATATTTGTTAGTTACTACTAATAAGTACATACCAACTATTTACTATGAATACTCACGTGAATGAGTATTTTTATCATTCCTGCCATCTTCTCTGTTATTCCCCTTTTACATTTCTTACCAAGTTTCTATATTTTGTGCTTGAAATAAATCTTGATAGTAATGTTAGTCTAAGTTGGTTTTATATATTTTTTCACAGTAAACAAACCTTATTTATTATTTTGAAGGATATTTTAATATTTATTTATAAAAAAAAGTTGAATGCAATATTATATCATCTATTTCTATAAATATTTAGTATTTATAAAAAATAAATTAAAATTTAGTTTATATTTTATTAAGTTAAATTTATTAATTAAAATTAATTTATATTTTATTAAGTTAAATTTAATTAACATTAAATTTTAATTTAATTTATATTTTATATTAATAATTTTATGAATATATTTTCTTTTGGTTTTGAGAAATTAAGTTGGCAGTTGAATTTTAGTAGTTGGAGATATATTTGTAAAAGATGGAGGGGTTTCTTCCACCTCAAAAAATAAATATAATGAATATATTAAAGTTTTTTGTCAAACTTTCAAAGCTGTACAAGATGTCTATATTTAGTAATGGAAAACTGTTGTCATTTATTGAACGTTGACTTACTCTGAGCAAAATGTGGACTTTTAGGAGTATCTCTCTCTTATCTTCAACTCTTTTTTTCTTTCTTGATCTATTACTTTACCATAAAGAAATTAATATTAAAGTAATAGTATTTATTTTTAATTAAATTATTACAAAAATAGTCGTAGTTAATTATTTAAGTTTTTCAAATTCTCAAATTCTTTATTTAAATATTATATTTATAACTATACATAATTATAACATTTAAATATAATTATGAAAATAAATTATTTATTTCAATATAAAATTAACTATATTAATTTTATTAATAAAAATTAAAAAAACAAAAAACTAAATATTATTACTATTAATATTATTAGTACTAGAATTAATATAACTAATAATATTATTATTAGTATAATATACTCTACCATTTCTTTAATGAGATACTCTCATTCATAATTTTATTTGTTCCATATTACCAAAATATAGATTTATTATTATCTTCGTAAATACACATAATTATATATTATATATAATTATAATAATAATAATTATATATTATTTTTGTTAAAATATTTTTATGAAAAAAAAAGCGACCCGTGCATCTAAAACTAGTTTTTATGAAAACTAAATGATGCATAATTGAATTTTTGTGTATGTACAATTCTTATTACACGAAAATAATATAATTTAAATAAAATAAATAACTTTATAAGGATTTTATTTTAAAAAATAAAATAGTTATTTTTAAATTGAAAAAGTGTGTATTTTTTTAAATAAAGATTGCACAATTAGATATTTATTGATACAAAAACTATTTATATTCATTAAAGGATAAAATTATCTGATGAAAGTTATATTAAAAATAATCATTGAAAGATACATCTCTTTATATAGTGAAATTTTGATGATTATATAAATAATAATAATAATACATTAAAAATATATCATCTTGTTTACGCATGACATAAAAAAAATATCATGTTATATTAAATCACATTCTCATTTGTTTTTATAAAAATCAACAATTGTAATTATATCATTTTATAATTATATTATTTAAAATAAATAACATATAAGTAATTGTGATTTTTAGAAGAAAAATTCATTGTCACAGAAGAAGAGAAGAGATGGAAATGGCATAAAAATGCATATTGGAGAGAAAGTGAGCCCCTTCTCACGTTTCTATTTTCTTATCTTCCATCTCCCAACCTCCTTCCATTCTTTCAAATTTTCTTCATTTATTGGATTCACATGGTTGCTTTTTAGATGAGCATTCTTCAAAATTTTATATCTGATAATATAAAAAAAATAGTAGAAATTTATTTTAAAAATGAAAAATTGATATGAAAATTATTATCATAATTTAATAAGTTTCTTAGATTTATGAAAGACTTTAATAGTTATGTTTATTAAAAATTTTGTTGAAAATGAAAGTTTAAATTTTACATTAAATAGAAATGAAAAATTAGAATCCTTATAAAAAAAATTCATAAACTCAATACCTTAATATTTTTGATTTGATGTGGTATTAAATATTAGATAAATTTCAATCAGGTTTCGTTGTAGTTATAATCTTCCTTTCATAAACTATTTCTCATCTACTCAAATCATCACTGAGATTATTCTTCTTAGTTTGTGTCTATTATAGTATTACATAATACCTAATTAGATGTTATTATTTTTTGTTAATTAAAATTTATTCATCTTCCTACAAGCTTAGTGTAATTTGTAATTTATAAATATGATCTGAAATTATCCAACTATATATTCCTCGTTATACTGTTCAATACTACTAAACCTTAATATTCTCCACCAAAATTATATTAAACATGAATATTGAAAGATTTCCATTGATCCAAATAATACCCAGGTCCTGATTGATAAATTATTTGATGATAACCTCATTGATTTTAAATGGATCTACAAAGTCAAGAACAAATAAGATGAGATATAATAATATAAAAAAAAAAAAAACTAATTGTGAAGAGTTACACTTAAAAAGAAGCTATTGATTGTATGAATACCTTTCTTCTCGTAGTAAAGATGACCACTTTTAAGAGTTATGTTGGTTTTGGCCTTCTCTAAAAATTGGATTTTACAAGTAATTATATACATTGCATTCTTCCATGTCAATATGGAAGCAAAAATCTATATGGTTTTACTGCAACATTTACTAACTTCCAAGCCTAGCTAGGTCAATTTATTATAGAAATATCTCTATAGATTAAAGCAAGCTAGTCGACAATCATTGTTCTAATCTTCGACCTTAGTCTCTCTCGTTGGTAGCTCATTCAACTACCTACCTACCTAGTGTGAAGGTTTTGAACACTAAAAAACCTAAAAGATGAACAACGATAACGTATAGTAGGAAACTAGAAGATGAATAACAATGTTGGAAAGGAGAAATAGTTTTTTATACCAAAATTACATTAAGATGAGTTTAAAAACTTATTCTTTTAAAAGGCACCCAAAGATTGTCCTAAAATTTGATTGGTTCCTCAAATAAAGAAGATTGACCATTTAATTTTCAATTATAATTTATTACACATTAAGGTCAAATCTAGAAATATAAGAATCATTTCTAAGACTTTGTTCGTTTAAGTGGATCTCACTGTTGAGGCAAATTGGCACAAACATATTTGAGATTTAATTTATGTTTGCATGAACGGATTTGGAAGGAAGGATGAACGTTGATTTGCAGGATGCAATGCTTTCTCCATCTGAACTGATGACATGAGATTTAAGGGTGATTATCAACAAAACCACTTTTACCCTTGAAAATATTTCATTCAAAACGAAGTAAAAAACATAGTGAAGCACTGGAGGATGAAGACGAAAAAGATGGATAAAGATCAGCGAATTAGGTTCAAGCATAACTGATTCCAGACTGAGGTGGAATTGATTCCACTATGTGTGTAGAAGAACCCGTAATGGGTTATGAGATTGGAGTAATCGATTCCAATGAAAATTGCACCTTGTGAAATGGTGTTTTCATAGCTTTTGAGTAAATTATATTCCTAAAAGATTAAATTTTAAACAAAATAATTTTACTTTACTTGAATACAAATTTATTTCATTTTTATAATTAATTTTAATTTGTTCTATCAACTTATAATATTTTTTATCAATAAATATTCTTTTATATTACTTCTACTATTAAGGATATTTTGATAATTTTAAATTTTTACTATTAAAAAAAATTATCTATCATATCGGTTAAATCTTACATAAATTTTTACAAATTTTATTTTCAAATTCACTTTAAATCTTCCATAGATTTTTACAAATTTTATTTTCAAATTCACTTTGAATCTAACTCCAAATACTTATAAAAAAATAATAAGACTCAGTGTCCTCTTAAATGTATCCACTCTCCTTCAAATAAAAAATCCATGTGAACACATCCTAAATAAGGCTCGTTTCAAATCAAGTGACTTCATTTTTAGATTTCTAGGCATGTAAGGGACAGGGAGGGTAACATAGGCTTTGATTCTGTCGGAACGAGATATAGGTACCATCCCCCAATCATGGGCTACAAGGAAGACTAAACCCACACCAAGTGAGTCTGAGTGTTATGATGTCACCAACTATGTGAAAGCAAGTCTAACTATCACTCAGGTTAGGAATGGATGACTTTCAGAATCCAAAAGTCATCTTTTACTTATAAACTATACAACCTATAAACTTTTTTATTAGAAAAAAGGATTTCTAAATTGGACATTCAAAAACTTCACGAATGCACAAATTAAAAATTATTTTTAACTTCTGGATTACTGACGAGGACAAAAATGAGTAAAATGTGTCATATGAAAGAAGTTTTGCAGCTATTCCTACTAAAATTTCCCAACACCTGAAAGAAACTACTCCAGTACCCTCCCTTTGAAAACAAACTAGTATTCATAACTACCTTTCCGAAGATAATTTACCTATTGCAAGGTAAGCGATAAAAGAGAAAGGATAGACAGCTGATATTAAAAATAAAAGAGATTGATCCATTCAAAGAAGACAAGAGATGCCACAAGGAATTATAATGCTACTTAGAAATGACATATCAATAAAAGGCAATGAAAAAGAATTGAACCTAGGATATTTAGGTTGATTCAATTCGATCCAAACCTATTCTAAAAACGCTCATTGGGGAAAAACCAAGAGGGGAACAAATTTCAATAATTCAGTCACATGTGCCCAAAACAAATAAACAATACAAGAAAAAACTATGTTGCCAAATAGCACAATGATTCTCCAATCTCAAAATACCATGTAAGGAATTTGCTGGTTCGAAAATCCCTCATCTGAAAATGGTAAGCACAATATAAAGATATACTCCCCTCCCCTTTCCCAAGGAAATGGAAGGCTGCTGGTTCTTATAATGTAAGAATAATTTATGCATCCATGTAAGTAAATTTGGTTCTTTGCAGATTTGCTTGTACCCCACTAATCAAAACTAGCGTTTAAAAAGTTCAGTAGTTCATTTCTCTTGCTTTCGGCCACTTTATCTTCCTTCGATTTTTCAAGTTTCAGAAGAATCTACAAAAAAATAAAAGTATAAAATAAAATCTAGATTGCTACTGCCAATAACCATCAAATCAAAGGTACAATCAAATAACACATCCCTACCTTCTTGCCAGACACAGCACTCCGACGGACATCATCATCTTTGTCACGTCCTAAAAACTGATCCATTACAGAAAGTTAGGAAATTAGAAAACATAGACGCAACTAAATGCATTGAAAGTCTGATATAGATTACAATACAAACCTTGGAAAGCTGCACAGGGCTGCTTCTCCTCTCATCATGCTGCTTCTATATAAAGCTCCCATTGCCAGGACAAACCCCACCAAGAAACATCAATCAAGTCGATCAAGCGCCCAAACATTCCACAGATCCCAGCTCCAATTTCAAAGAGCCAATACATAAAATAGGCAGAAAGTATCATGAGCATCTTGCACTGAACTGTACAAAACTTTGTGTTTGGAAGAAGGTTTGCAACTTCGAAAAAATAAAATTTATCGTATACAAGGATTAATGACATCAAATCAGGGTTTTCAAACTGCAGAAGATTATAGAATCGTAGAAAATTATATGGATGTGTCTTATGTAGATGAATCTTAGATTTATATAAGAATCCAGAGAGAAAAACTTCAGCAATATGAACATAGTCCACATTCCAGGGCCACTTACTTGACTTAGAATCTTTAAGTATGAAGAAAATAATTCACATGAATAAAAATAAAGAAGTATGAAAAAGTGACCTACCTCTTTTACTTTATGCTTCTGCCGCTTATGATGGTGGCTTTTACTTCTATCCTTTTCCTTATTCTAAAGGAAGGGAAGACGTGAGGTAAATGGCCAAGAATAAAATTGAATAATAACTGTATTACTAACAATTCACCTTCTTTGGCCTGTCACTCCTTTTGTGCCTCTTTGAACGGTGAGATGCTTCACGCTCACTATCAGAAGAACTCTCACTTCTGAAGTAATAAAGATAACAAAAAGAGTTATGGCAAAGCCAGATTAATCTGTTCATTACTCTTCTGTTGCTACACTTATTTGAAATCCATAACTCTTATAAATAATACAGGCACGCTGAAGTAACTTCTTATGCAATATGCAAAAGGATTAGAGTCTTGTCAAACAACTTACTAACCACAAACATTATGAACAAATCATGTTTCGAAATTCACAGTCAATAGCAAGTGTCATCAAAATATGTTTCTGATAGTCATAATGGTAGCCCCATTATACATAATAGTAAGGTAATGAGAGATCTTAATGTTGGAACAGGAACATTTATCTCAATTCCCAATTTGAAAAAACCAATTATGCTTAATAATCATCCCGGGACAGAGAGAATGTTTGAATAAACTACTTATATTGCAAGTGTGTGATTCCCTTCCCATGGTTGGAAATAGTTAATAACATTTTCTCTGATTATAATCTATGTTTCTGAAATTAGGCTATTTTAACCAATATTTAAGACATATATCTCAAAAGGATTAAGAACTTAAGCGCTATCAGAATTGAGAGTCTGTAAATTGTATTTGTATCAGAACAACCATTGAAACAAAGCATGTACATAAAAATAACAACATGAGATAAAATAGTCAAAAGGCGTATGTTATGTGAGGGTTAGATGGAGAACCTAGAGTAATCAGAGACAGAAGATGATGAATGAGAATCGGAATCCGAATCGGAATTGGAAGAGTGGTGGTGATGCCTACGACGCCGTTTACCGCGGGACTGAGACTTGGTCTTCTTTCGGATCTTGAGGGAGTCCTTGTCGCGGTCTCGGCGGTGGCGGTGATGACGCCGGCGACGGTGAGGAGAGGATATGTCCGAGGAAGAAAGTGAAGAAGAAGAGGCCGCCATAAAAAACTTGGGAGGGTTTGCTTTGGATTGAGTCTACTCACAAGTTTATTTCGATCCTGATCCCTCCTATTCCTTTGTGACTTCCCGATGTTAATTATATATGGAGAGTTAAAGTTTATTTTGTACTGATTTAAAATTTTGTTTACAATTTTGTACAGTCATTTAATAATATAAAAAGAAATAATTTTTGTTTGAATAAAAAATTATAAAAAGAAAAAAAATATCTGTTGAAAACATTTTTTTAATAAAATATATGTTAAAAAACTAAGTAAAATTACATCTTCATAAGTTCCTGATCAATATGAGAATAATTCTAAAGAATAAAAAAAGTATGTGAAATTAATATATGTTTATGTATAAATAAAATTTTCAACATATAAAAATATATGTTAATTTATTATTTTATTTTATTTTATTTTTAAATATTATCAAATTTTAAAATATGTTATCTTTTTAGTTCTCTGAAATCCAACCCTTATATTTGTGGAAAACCGAAAATTTCCTAAATAATTACACAATTCAATTGTATTCTTTGTAGTATCTCCTAAAATATTACATAGATTTAAAAAAAGAAAAACTTAATTTTGTTTGCAAATGATATACAATTACTTATTATTTGGTCTAGAGTGTAAAATTAATCAAATAATTTTACTTATTATTTTGAATAATTTTATAAAAGATTTTATAGATTAGTTGTAAAACAATTAATATAAAAACTTTTAGATTCGTTCTTTATACAATCCATATATTGTGAATTCAACTTTTTTTTAATTCATGACATGAATTTCAGTATGGCTTGTGTTGATATTTATCAATTTTAGTATCATCCATATTTAAATTCCATTAATTTTATCTGCATATAAATTTCATTGTAGTTTTTCTTTTTTAAAGGGTAATCATATTTTAGTTTTCAATTTTTATATCATCTACCCTCTAATATCAAGATCTCTTAACAAAAAAAACATTGGTTTTTCGTTTTCCTCTTAAATATATATGATATTATGTATCTCATTTTTTTTCTAAAGTTTAGACACCTCTCATTTTATTTTCTCATTATTGAAATTCTAGTTTCGTAAGATAACTTTCTCTCTTGCATTGATTTTTTATATTTAGAGTTTTTTTTATTTAAGTATTGCAATTTGTTTTAAAATTTATCAAAACGAAAATATTTTAAGAAAATTATGGATATGGACAAATCGTATATGAGATAATTTTATTGACTTGAAAAATTCGTTTTATGTAACACGATTTTCTGACTCTAAAGGTGAAATCATGCTAGATCAACATGGTTTTAGTGTAATTGGAAAATTCGTGTGATTCATACATGACTTTGATTAGCATAGTATAGTTTTATTTTATATGTTTTATTTACATTGAAGTCATGGTAGAGGGACTTGACTTCATTTCAACCGCGTTTTAAGTAGAATCCATACATGATTGACATGATTTTCAGTGTAATTATTGTAAAGAAAAAATTGTGTTAGGTGTACGTAGATGTTTTCCTATTGTATTACTAAAACATGTTAAATTTATTTTATTTATAACTAGTGTTTAAATGAAAAAAAAAAGTAATATATGAGTTTAAGAAAAAATATACTTATATTAAGGAAATAAATAGTTGTTTTATTTAAAATCATGTTGCTATAAAAATTATGAGTATATAAATACGTTTTTTTTAATCTATAGAATGCTTGTGTTTGAATTAGATGATGATAATATTTATAAAATTTTAGGAGCTTATTTTGTAATATTTGATCATTTATATACAAAGTTAAGGTTAACATAAAAATTAAATTGTTTAGTTTTATGCATTTATATAAGCAAAGTTTAAATGCATAAAAGGAAAATTAAATTACATTAAAGATTGTCTAAATGGATTATTTTCTTTTTTATGGTTTTCTTTGCTATAATAAGAACAATTCTTTGACTTGTTTTGTATTTGTTATTGATATGTTTAGTAGTTGGTCTTCCTAATTGTTTATGTGACATTTAAAGGTCTCAAATAAAAATTGATTTTATGTAAATACACAAATAATTTTCATTTCAAACATGATGAAATAGTATTCCGTAAGCCTTGTATATGATATAGATTAGGTCAATAAATGTGATTTGTTATAAATGAAAACATGAACAAACAATAATAACATAAGGACATGGAAAGAGAAGAACTTGAAACTCCCCACAATCACACCATCAATTATAATTTAACTGGGTATAAATTGTTAAGCAGTAGTTTTTTCTATAAAAGGGGAAGAAATTTAATTTTAATGAATTAAAATCACTCTAACCTTAATTACCTATACCTCATTAGGTTTTCTAATCCAAAAGTGACTAAGTCAATAAAATATTATTTATAAGAGTAAACAAAATTAAGATTATGTAACATTTTTATTATATGGACAACATGTAAAAAATTTATTATTTTTTTCTTTGATCCAATAGAAACATGAGATTCTTTCTATTTTTTATCTCCCAATTTATTCCACATATCTATTGTTAAAAATTTCTCACTGAAGTTGAACTGTATTCATCCATGTTAAAGTTGATTTGATAGATAAATTAATGCTATTGAAGTTGAAAGTTTATGCTAAGAATGGTGTAGTGTATGTAACAAAAGAAAGAAGATAAAATGGAGGTAGGAATTTTAAGCTGGTTGACCACAATTTGTTTTTCCATCAAACAGTATTGTTGAAAAAGAATTATATTTTTAACACAAAAAAAAAACCATTTGAAAACTTATTACAAAAGTAAAATACTCATAAAAAAATATGAATTTTTGTATTTGTAAAAAAAAAATTGAAATGCTAAAATGATAGTATTAAATGTATATACAAACTTTTAAGTGTGAAAATATCATTGTACCTTACTGATTTGTAATAGAAAATTTTCAGACTTACTTACATTCTTGTTATCTGTATAAATAACCAAATTAAACAATATAATGTTTTTTCTCTATATATTATATTATATTTTGTCATATATATACGAGCTCTATTATTTCTATAAATAACGAAATTTTACGTTTTTTTTTTTTACATACGAGGTAATGTACAGTTTTTTTTTTAATAGACTTTTTTTTATACTGGTTGTTTTATAAAGTTAAATGTTGTTTGATTAAGGATAGTTTAAGGTTGGAGGAGGTGGAAAGATAGAAAGAAAAATAAAGTAGAGGAGGCAAAAGAGTAATTGGGAATCTAATTAATTAATTAATTACGCACCCTACAAGCACAGAGAACTGTAGGAAAATCCCAGTTCATAGACACTTGCATTTGAGAGCATTTAATGAATGGAAGAAAAAAAAGAAGATTAAAGTGATAGGCGATGAATTGGCGATTTAATTTGGCAACACGTACTTCTCTCCCAAAAAGAAAAATAAAAGTGATCAGTGAGTGGCGGAGGGCAGGCCAGAGTCGTAAGGAACCCTTGTGACCCTAATCCAGTCATCTCCATGGAAGAACGGTGATGGCAAGAATCCTGTTGCTACGTCCTTCGTCAGGGCCTTGATTCCTTCCCATTTCACGCGCTTCGATATGTCTGCACCAGGGCCATGGTTGTTTATCTCAGCGTAGAAACAAGTGTCCATTCCGCTTAAACCTTCCAATGTCTGCCATGGCATGTAGCCGTCGGGTGTGATCAAGTCATCGATGAACGAATCCATGAAGATGGTCCTTGAGAAATTCTTCCATGGACGAGCCAAGTACGCCTTGTTGTCGAACCTGACTGGGTAATACAGGGGGTCTGACACAATCGATCCTCCATGGATCACCAGACCCGATGGCTGGTTGCTCTCCTTTCTACCTTGTGCGGTCACAATGCATTGCTGGTTTGCCAACGGCTTTCGGACAACGAATGTGCAGTTCTGGAGCACAGCCACTGCGTCGCCGAACACAAAGTCTATGGTACCAGAAATGGTGCAGTCGCGGTAGAATTGACGCATGGCGTGGGCGTAAAGAGTGTCTTGGTACCCATCCATTCGGCACTTGTAGAAGATGGACCTGTCAGATTGAACCCTCAATGCCACCGCTTGATGTTTTTCAGCACCGGCTGTGTTTTCAAATCCCATACCTATGGCGACGAAGAAATCTCCAATAATGGCTGCAATCATTTATAACTATTTTCATCAGTTTTCTGCTGCTATATTTATAAGAGATTTTTAACATAATTAAGAGAATGGAATGGAAGGGACGTACCAGCACTGGCGGTTTTGTAGGTTCCCACACCATCGATGAAGTTTTTGCTGCCTGTGATCCTCGACTTCCTACCACCATCACCGATCATGACGACATGGGTCATGTTCCTGGAAACTTCCACGTACTCGTCGTAAACGCCCTCCTTGATGTAGATGATAAAAGGCCTTAGGTTTTTCATGGGCACGTGCTTCAAGGCTTCGTTGATGGTGGTGAAATTTCCACTGCCATCCTTGGCAACCACCACATGGGCCATTTGTTTGCGTCCAGTCATATGCAAGAGTCTGCGAAGGCCACCGCGGTTCTCAACCCAATCGGGAACGTCAAAGTCGTCGTCGGTTTCGTTGCCAAGAACGGGCAAATCGTCGGCGGTCGTCAAGAGGCGGCGGCCAGACTTGGGGAGGTGCATCTCGGAGAAAGTCTTCGACAGCTCGGTGATGATAGCGAGGCCGTTGCTGGTCATGTGCATGGCGGTTTGCAAGAGCTCCTGCATCTTCTTGCCAGCGTCGGTGGTGGTGTTATCGAACGCGTCAAGGCACGATTCCTGGTACGTGACGGCGCCGCTGAGCCACACCTTGAGACTGGTGAGGATGCGATCGATGTTGTTGAGGTCGAACTTGCTGAACCTCTGGAGGGAGCGATTGAACTCTTCGATGGAGAGGTTCATGAGTTGTTTGCACGTGTCGAGGGCCTCCTTGGTTCTGGGATCGCTCTCGACGTCGTGCATGAGCTTGGTTTGCCCTAGCCCGTCGCTGATTCGGGAGATGGTGACGTTGAAGGCGATTTTTATGAGTTCCCTGGGATCAGTGATGTTGCCGGCGTTTGCATTGAGATTGTCCTCGCATTCTTTCTGGTACTCCGTGGGTGCGCAAAGGGTTTTCACCGCTTTCATGGAGGAAGCTACGTG